AGCCTCATTAAACATCTTGTAAAGTACAATTTATGGTTCTTTGTTGAAGTATGTAAAATACAGTTCTTGGCTTTCTGAGCTGGGAAAGAACTTACAGTGATGTAAAGAATGGAATAATTGAAGAAAATAGCTTTGGTGGCTGGAAGGGGAAGACGAAGTGAATTCATAAATAATATTGAGCAGACAGAGTTTCTTGTCTGCAGTCTAGGATTTCATTATTATTTTCCACTATCAGTGGGTTTTCCTAGTACTTCTTTTTTCTTCATCTATCCAACTTATTTCTCCATTAAGTTGGCTAAGATGTATTCTTCCTTGCTATCACCCACTCTGGAGTGCTGATTTTACTCACAGCCATGGTCTGCAACCTCTGGCAACACAAGAATGTCACCAGTGGTTCTCCTCCCACGTGTAAAAATCAAAAATGTTACCCCGTGTTAGAAACTGCTGTATTTGGAGCTGTGATAATGCAGAGCTAAAAAAAACAAACCAAAACAATAAACCCCACACCCACAAAAGTAGTGTGGATGTTTACTTTTGGGGAAAAAAAAGACAAAACACTTGGGAAGGAAACTGTGCTTTGTTAGAGGTGAGGGAATGTCTTGGGCATCACACTACTTCCTCACTGGCTAGGCTCTACATATTCCATGTGTTTCATTGTATCTTGTAAGGAAGCACATGGTTTGTAAGAACTGCAATGGAGATGGAAAAAGTGGGAACTTGTGTGTATTCACCAGCTCTGGCAAAATCTGTTTTGCTGTTTTACTAAAACGTATCTCTAATATTGTGCTTAATGCTTTTGCTCCAAGTTTAAAAATGTCATAGGAATAATTCTCGTAGATCCCTTCTTGCTTCCTTTGTCACATCATTGCACCCGCAGAGACACTTTAAAGTAAGGTCATTTCTGCTCATGCTGTGATTTGACAAAAGGAATAAGGATGATGATCTAAAGCTCTGCCTATGGAAAAAGTAAAAAAAATAAAAATAATAAAAAAAAAAAATTGGTATGAGTTGCAACATCCACCCCAAGGCTGCTTTGAATTTTTATGGTTCATGATACTCTGTTTGTTAATGCCCCAAATGCAATTTACGTGGCTTTATAGAGCCTTTCCCAGAAGGGTGGCACAGTTGCAGAGCTGTGCTGGAGAGGGCCTTCATTCCAGGGAATTCTCTAAGGGTGAGTCTCATCCTCCTTGTGCTGAGACGTGTTCTGAATAAGACAGAAAAAGCCTGGCCTACTTGCATCCAATCTGTCAGTGTTATGAAGTCATATTGCCAAAACAAATACTGCAAACTGCCAGATATTCCTTGATTTTGCTGAGAGAACTCCACAACGTAGAAAAAGAGTAATATTTGTTTTTGAAATAAAAATAGGTGTTGCTGGATGAAAATAAAAGGAAATGATTTACTTACTATGCATATGATTTTTCTCATGCGATGCAAAAGCTTTAGCAATTACTGGAAAGCATCGTTTGAGGACAGTGAGAGCTAGAGAAGATTTCGGAGACGTATTTGTTTACTTTCTCATTCTTATTCGGTGGTACTCTGATGTGTTGGAGGAAGAGCTGCTTTCCCTTTTCCCATTTTACAGAGATGATTTTGCTGATAGTCACAGAGAGAAATGCCTCAATTAAAAGTCCCCTTAAATCTGCCAACGTTTGGGGAAAAACAATCATATTTCCCCTTCCAAAAAAGGTCAGACAGCACAGGGTGATAGAAATACCAGCACTGATTTGCACAGACTAAGCAGATGTGTATCTTGTGTAAATTCTTACGAGCTTTCTTGCTTCTTTCTAAAAGCCAGCCATTCCATTTTGAAGCAGTTGTCAGTCTCCAAACTCTATCTTCAGTCAAAATCAGAACTTTCATTAAGGAATAAAAGTTATGTCAAAATAATAATAAATAGTAAGATAAAAATAGCAATTAAAAAGCAGGCAAATATGCTGTTCAGATCATCTGATCAGTCTCCAGTCTCGAAATTGATTATTAAAACAATGAGTATTTCAAAGGTGATTTAATACCGTTTCCATCTGAGTATATGTAATGTTGTGTGGCTGCTTTGGGTATTCATGCAGCCATCTAATATACCAGTCCTTTTTCAGCTGAAGTTGGCAACGGAACTCCCACTGGCTTAATTTGGATTATCAGCTCCATATAAATTCAAACCCAGCTGAAGAGACAGCAACTCAAAAAGTTGAGCAGCTTTTGTTGTTAGAAAAGGAACCGTTCCCATGATGTTTCACACTGATGAGCTAATTGCAGCAAAATGAATAAAATAAGTCATCTTCAGGCTTCAAACAATTTCCATTTTATTTCTAAAATAGCTTTATGAAGTAAAATACTCAATGTTTTTGATCTGCAGATCTGGGTGCTCTTCACCAGAAAGCTGATTTCTTGTTTGTTTAGCTTTTAAGTATGGGTGCTTTCAGACGGTAAGCTTTGAAAAGCTTGTTCTTTGAAATTATATTTAAGGCATGGAATCGTGGGGTAATTTAGAAATTCATTTAGTCCACCACCTGCTTGAAGTGGGTGCTGTTACATCAAGTTGAGGAATGAACCTGGCTGGACTTCTGGAGTGCAAGTATACCTTAACATCTCACATTGGGTCTTTCATCATCCAGTGCCCTTAAATCCTTCTCCTCAGGGTTGTTCTCAAGCCATTCTCCACCTAGCCTGTACTTCTGCTTGAGATTGCCCTAACCCAGGTTCAGGACCTTGCATTTGGCCTTGTTGAGCTTTATGATGTTAGCATGGGTCCACCTTCCAAGCCTGTCCAGGTCCCTCTGGATGTCACCCCTTCCTTCTTACATGTTAGCTACTCACAACACCACTTAGCTTGGTGTTGTCCGCAACCTTTCTGAGGATGCACCTGATCCCACTGTCCATGTCTCCTACAAAGATACTAGGTCCCAGCAGTGATCCCTGAGGAATGCCACCCATCACTGGTTTCCACTTGGATGCTGAGCTGTTGACCTCAACTTTGAGTGTGACTATCCAGCTAATTTCTTTTACAGCAAGTTGTCCATCATATCCATTTTTGTCTAATTTGTCGACTGGGATGTTGCTCAGGATTGTGTCAGATGCTTTGCACAAGTCAAGATCAATGAAGCCAGTTGCTCCTCCTTTATCCACTGGTGCTATGACTTCCTCATAAAAGGACACCACATTTGTCAGATACAATTTACCCTTGGTGAAGCTGTGTTGGTTACCACCAATCACCTCATCTTTATTTTCCATCTGCCTTAGTAGGGTCTTCAGGAGGATCTGCTCCATTCTTCTTTTCACACTGCTTTTTTCAGAGCCTTGGTTGTTGCCTGTGTAGTCCTTTACTGCATCTGCCTTTATGAGATGCCAATTTATTAAGGAAAAACAATCTGTAGTTTGCTGTACCCCTCCCAGCTTGATCTAGCTTTAGGAGGTTTGCAAAGGTCAGTTATCATACTGGGTGGGTTATGTGTGAAATGAAGTATTCCATCCTGTCCTGCTCTGAGCTTGTGTCTTGGAAAGAAAAGCACGGTAAAACTGCATCGAGTTTTTGATAACTTGTGGGGTTGGACGCTGTGAAAGAAAGCAGACTTAACTTCAGCAACACTTCTAAGCATACACAGTGATTTTTCTTCTTACTTCAGTTGTTAGAAGTGAAAAATAACTCTTGAGAGATCGCATTGACTGTAAAGCTGAGGTAAGACAAGAGTCTGACTCTTACTGTTTAGAATTTCATGTCCCTGACTGGACCTTCTTGTTAACTGGTTGCCGTTGTGCCGAAGCAAGAGCTGCTGTGTTAAAGTCATGATAATGGTATTCAAGGGTTGGTACAAAGGGCTGTCGGAAGAATGTGCTCCCATACTACTAAACAAAGAGGAGATACCAGCTCAGGTTCTCCTCCGGAAACTCCGTGTGAAGAACGTTCATGAATTTAACCCAATTGTAACTATTTTCTAACAGGAAAACCACAAAGTTTACATGTAAATTAAATTTTATAGTTATAAAATGGCATAAGAACCTAATTAAATTTGAGTAGGGCTGGAAGGGGGTCACTTGAGCTGTTCCCACTAATTACTGTTTATGACATTTGCTCTGTGTTGGACAGTGGTCTCCAAGAAGAACATAGTATTTTACTACTTTGAAGATACTTGACAGAAGATTCTGCTTATGATATCTCAGATGGGATATTTTAAAAAATTAATGCGTACAATTCTGTCTTTTTTTTTTATTTTAAAAAGTTGCACGCGAGTTGTTTTTCCCTGTACTATTTTCTGATTCAACAGTTCCCCTTACCTGCCTTCAAACTGAGGCTTGTGAAGCTGCATTTTGTTTGAACTATATATCTTAATTAAGCATTCTAGATTGAATTAAAGTGCCCTTTCTCTTGGAACCTTTGAATTACTCTTGAAGACTTCAGCTTATGCTAGCTCTGCTCTTAACTTTATGGTTTGAGTTGGAAGGGGCCTTGAAGGCCATTCATTTTCAACCCCCTTCAACCCACCGGAGCAGGCTGCACAGAGCCCTATCCAGCCTGACTTAGAGTGCCTCCAGAGATGGAGTAAAAAACTGTATTAAAATTATATTTGCACTGAATTTCTGTAGCGTATCAGAAGTATTTATTTGTTCAGAATGCATTGGCATTGCCTACAGACTGCTGCTTAACTTAGCCGTGCGATTTTCTGAAACCCATTGTAATTTCAGTACTTTCATATAAGATTTGATTTACTGAATATTCAGTTGACCATCACGCATTTTGAAAGCACAGATCCTCAGCACGTAACTGTGATCATTTTTGTAAAGATAACAACAACCCAAGTCTCTGCAAAATGTAATGCAATTCAAATGCAAGTTGATTAAAAAAAAAAATCCCCAAATCCTAGCTTTGTTACTACATGTGTTGTCAGAATAAGAAAGTACGCCTAGGTTTTAGCAGCCCAGTTCTGTCCGTTTGCTACTTTATCACGCACTTTCTTCTTGCTTTAAGCAATAAATGTATTTCAATCGTTTTTTCTTTGTAGAGCCAGTATTGTGCAGAAGCGCATTATTTATTTTCAAGACGAGGGTTCTCTCACCAAAAGAATCTGTGAACAAGGTAAGGTGATCTCCTTGTCGTGTTCTGCTGAGTTCTCCTAATTGTTATATCCAGTTACAATTTTGATCCCTTGAATGATTTCATACGGATTGAAATTTAGGACCTCTTATTTCAGTGATGTTCTGCCTACCTGTGCACGGAGCTGCTCTGGCAGGGGTTGGATGCTCTCTGGAGCCCCCTTCCAGCCCCTACGATTCTGTCATTCTGTGATTCCTTACATTGCATACCGTTCCTCATACAGTCTTCATTGCTTCCACCTAAATGTGACACTTACTCCTTTTTCCCTTGTGTGAAACCTGTTGCTTGGGCTATTTTCAACCTTTCCTAGAATTAATTGTAGCAGAGAGATTTAAAATTCACATGAGAAACAAAGGAGAACTGCAATTGTCTTTTGATAAGTTGACTTTTATTTCTGCATATGCAAATTCCTCCTTCCCAGAAAGGTCATGCAAGTGAAGTTAGTTCAAATAACCACAGTCTCCTGACTCTCCTTCTGCGTTTTGTAATTATGTTCATTCTTTCTTCTTTTGAACCAGGGTTGTCATGGCAATGTTTGCGTATTTTGGAGGAAATTCTGTGAAGTACATCAGGCCATTAAACTCCCTCTGAAAACTGAGGGGAATTGTATGTTGGATTTCTTCAGGGGCTTTGTGGAATTCTCTATCAATTCTTAAATATATAATCTGTTACAAAAGCAAATATGGAAAGTGACCTTTAGGTTCTGTAATCTGCTGGCAGATTGTGTTGCTTCTGTTAGTAAACATAAGTATCCCTCGTATGGGAATGTGTGCAGATATTGGGGAGATATGTTCACCTTCAAACAGATATCCCATCTTTGCAGGAGGAGGTGCGCTGGTGAGGCCTGGGTAGCAACTAGGGCCTGCTCCCTTGATACTGACGTGCACATACTCTTCTGATTTAAATTCCAGATCATATAGCTTAATTCTTTCCAGGAGAAACTTCCCACATTTCCTTGAAAAGTAATAATTTGTACAGAAGTACAGAGTTGATGGTTATGGGGCAGTTCTTATTTCTTCTCTTTGCAAGTTTGGAATGGTTTTTCTTCAGTTTTGTACTGAGGAGAAAAGAATAAAACACCACTTTTAAAAAATACCTGGCACACTGTCCTTCATTTTTAGTGAACTGAATGTGTGCCAGTGAAGCATTCAGTTGTAGTTCATAATGTGGAATCCCTGACTGTCACTAGGAAACCTCTTTGTCAGTGTTTTGAGCCATTTCAAATATGGAAATACGTAAGCTAGGCTTTTTAGAAACATTGCAGTTTGGTGGCAAACCTGATGTAAAAAGCCACCAGAATAAACAACAATGTGGTTGTTATTTTGGAAAAGAAAGGAGAAAAGGCAGGATTCTTGGATAGTGGATAAATCAATCATAATGATTTCAGTTAATGGAAGCCAGGTTGTGTCAAAATTGTACTTCTAAACTTCTGTATTTTTGAGTAACAGCTTCATGTTTGGAGAATTTTAGTTGTCTTTGGTGAGTTCTGATAGCAGAAAGTGTTTGCACATCACCAACTACTCAATCTAGTTGAAGTGTTAAATCTTATCTGCTTAAAATATTAAGGACAGCAAGAAAACCTCAGCTTTCTTCTTCAGCACCACTTTTGCTTTAGTCTAGATAAGGCGTTAGATAAGAAGAAAGCTATTGGCAAATTGGGGAATTTATTTGTTGAGCTCTATCCTAAAGACACTGAGTGAGGGAAAGGACAGAAACACATTGTCCTAATAACGAAAGATTTATGTTGCAGTTACGGGCGAAGCTGTTCTGCAGTCAGTGTATATATTTTCCGGAATAGGTGGAAATGGGCGATTCTGCTGGGGGAAAAAAAAAACTTAAGAAACTTCAGAAAGGCTTCATTCACACAAGAGGCAATTTGGTTAAGTCCTGAAACTCTTTTTAAAGATAATAAAATGACTTGTTACTGCTGCTCAGTTATTTTCCTGAGTGTGTCCTAATTAACTAAAATAGAGTGCTGAAGATATGGATTAGCGTTAAATTGTTTGGTTAAGGTTTGGGCTTTGGTTTTGGGTTTCACATCTGATAGCCTCGTCTAATCTGTATATTTCAGGACTCAATTTGTTTTAAGCTCAAGCTCTTCATGATTTTGACCCGTGCTGCTATAAATAAAGTCTTTTTGAGGGACAGAAAGAATTTGTCAAACTAATCGTAACATGTGATATTTGTATCTCTGTATTCGCCTCACCATCATGTGTGCAGGAAGACGTTGTTCAGCATTTATTGCACTGCTGAAGGATCCTTGAGAAAGACAGCAGCAGGATTGCAGCACCACAGCAAAGCCACTGATGCAGCCCACTGTCTATTCCATGTCTCTTGTTAAAAAAACCACTAGAGAATAGTCAAAAGAGCGACGGTTTTCGTTGGCAGCACTGGTTGGGTCTCAGCTGCATCATTCAACATCGCTGGGTGTTTCTCAGAGCAGGGAATGATTTGTGAGCAGGAAATGTGTGCATGCAAAAACTCAGGGGTTTTCTGCGCATGCAAAAGTACAACTGAGGCATTAGCATGGGGCTTTTGCAGCTGATTATTGCATCCCACTGAAGAACTTAAGTAGCCTGGCTATCCAGTGAGTTCCAGTCTATCGTATTTTTTAGATTTGCTGAGGTTTTCACCAAATTAAATAAGAACCAAAAATGAACCTGTTTTGAATCTGAAAACAACTGAAATTGTAAACGTGCCTTTGTGTTTGCAGTGAGTCATTACATCCACCCATGAATCCAAACCAATCACTTCAGGATTCTACTTTTGTGAAGCCTAACGTTAAAAACTAATGAACACGAGTAAATGTAATTCAGATGTATTTGCTGGAGTACTTATTGTGTCAACTTTGCCGTGATCTGTTGCTGTTGAGTTGTAACCCTTCTCAGTGGGTGCCTTCATTCCTGTTTTTTCAGATTCAGCCTCAGAAGGTGTGACCGACAAACCAATTTTAGATTGCTGTGCCTGTGGAACTGCCAAATACAGGCTAACGTTTTATGGAAATTGGTCAGAAAAAACACATCCCAAAGACTTTCCACGTGAGTATCATCATTTTTTTTTCTTAATATTCTTGCTCTACACAAACATGGTGTAGGTATTTGGAGATTGCTGTGATGTTACTTGGTGAACACCCCACTAGGGTCAGTAATGACAAATATGCAGTACTGCTTATGTTCAGTATTGAAAATCTACAGATGCTATAAATTACAAATAAATTCTAGAGATTTGCCTGATGTTTTGAGGTGTAAAGATGTTTCCTTATATAGAGATTACCTTTTTTTTTTTTTTTTTTTTTTTTTTTTTGCCTCTTCTCTTACTGAGTGCTTAGCCTGGATTATCATGTACAGCTAGGAAATGGAATTTAATGCAAAACACAACCTAAAATGCAGGACACACTAAAATTTACAACCGTGTTTACAACCGTGCTAATCTAGCCAAAACTGAGTATTGTGTCCTTTCACAACCTCTGAAAGATTCTAGTTAATTCACTGAGCCCTGCGTCCTACTGCCAAGGAGGCTGGTTAGACATTCGGACAGTAGCGTACTCTCAATGTTGCAGTGGATTATACAGCTGAAATACGTATTCTGAGCTTTATCTATCCGATCCTGTCGACAGGATCAGGATTTTTACTGTAATAATCCAAATAACTGTAAATAGTGAAGTTACAAAGAAGTGTACTATTTGTTTATTCTTTCATTACTTATTCTGCAGCTTGTAGCAGTAGATGCTAGGATATGATTTGAGAACGTGAGTCACATTTATTGGTCTTTAAACTTTGTTAGGTTGTCTGTGGCTGATGTTTGTTGTTTGGTCTTTTTATGTCTTTTTTCTAAATTTATTACTTTCTGTCAGAGTACCACCATATAAATCAAATGTGGTTTGTGTAGCACTTCATAGTTCTGATAGTCTAAGCAATATTGCTCACATTGATTATTTAGAACATCTGAAGTTGAACAGTACCATTGTTCAAAAGCTGTCTGTCAGCATAATGCACAGGAGATGAAATAAGCCAAAGTGAGTAATTGTAGAAGTGCTTCTCCAGGCTATTGCACGATTTATATATCTGCTGAGTGTCACACTTCATATGCAATGTTAGTAGGGATTTAGGTAGCGGTTGGAAATAGGAAACATGAAATTACTGTGACTTTGTGATGCAGTGGATGGAAAAATGCCCTGATGGGCTGGCTGATGGGTCTGGCTCAAGGCGTTAAGGTCAGTGGGGCTCCATCTAAGCTGCCAATCAGTCACTGCTGGGGTTCTGCAGGGCTCTGTTTTGGGGATACTTCTCTTTAATGTTTTTATCAATGACTTGGATGTTGGAATTGAAGGTATGTTAAATAAATCTGCAGATATCTCTAAAGTGGAAGGAGTTGTCGATTCCCACAGGAGCAGGGAGACCATAGCGAGAGATCTTGACAAATTGAGGTCTGAGCAATCACCAACCACACGGAATTTAATTCTACACCTGGGACGGGACAGCCCTGGCTCTGTGTGCAAATGATCTGAGGATTCTCGTCAACGGCAACTTGGATCTGAGCAGCAGCGTGCCCTGGGGGGCATCAGGCCCAGTGCTGCTGCTGGGGAGGGGAGGGATTGTCCCGCTCTGCTCTGCACTGTGCAGCCTCATCTCCAGCACCAGATGCACGTGTGGCATCACAGTATAAAAAAAGACATAAAACTACGTGAGAGCATCCAAAGGGAGGCTACCAAGATAGTAAAGGGTCTGAAAGAAAAGACATTTGAGGAATGGCTGAGGGGAGGAAGGCATTGTAGCGTCCTACAGCTTGTCATAGGGAGCAGAGGCGCAGCACTGAGCTTGGCTCTTTGGTGACAGTGGCAGGAGCCAGGGCGATCAGTGTGGAGCTGTGGCAGGTGGGGATAGAGGAAGGTTCTGAGCCATGAAAGATTGGGCCCCAGAACAGATTGCTGCTGGCTCTGGGCCTGCCCCCGAGCCGCCCGAGTTCAAGAAGCATTTGGACACCACTCTCAGACCTGGGGTCTGGGTGGTCCTGTGTGGAGCCGGGGGTTGGACTTGATGGTCCTTGTGGGTCCATTCCAACTCAGGGTATTCTATGGTTCTGTGAAAAAAAACAACCACCACATAATGTAGTAGGATTAGTACGAGTAAAAACAGCTGATGAGACTTTGCACGGAAATTCCCAAAAGGTGGTAAGATCTTTTATCCAGATGTAGCAATATAACAAATGAAAAGCAATCATTAACGTTCTTTGAAAATTTGAATTTGTGCAGTAGTTACGTTGAAGTACTATTGGTGATGGATTGTAGTAAATCCTTTATTTGCAAAGTTGTTATGCTATGAGGAGGGGTTGGAACTAGATGATCTTCAAGGTCCCGTGCAACCCAAGCTGTACCACGAATCTAAAAAATACCTGCTTTGTTTTTATGCCAACAATGAGGCTGAAATACAAAGCCAATCATGGAAGTTTTATTTCTTTTCTTTAAATCAAGTACTGAGTCATTTTAAATATCACCAATAATATGCATTGTGTTGCTTTTCTCCTAAGAGAATATTTTGTTTACTATCACACAAACTGTTTCTGAAGGTACTGTGCAAAACTGTTAATCCTAGAAAACTCTTGTGTGTTTTCACAGATTCCATGAATTAGGAATAATTTATTATACTGGTACAACTAAAACACCTCTGCTCTATGAAATTATACAAAGCCTAGAGTGTACTTAGGAGTCATTAGGTTCTACAAAGTATTGTTCAGAAGGAAATCACTGCAAACTACTGCAGCACGGTTTTATAATCACAGAGTGACTTGGGTTGGAAGGGATGTTAAGGGTCGTCTGGTCCTAACAGTCTGGTTCTGAGTGTGCCAGCCATCAAGTGGGTGGAAAGAATGCCTGTAGGAAAGTTTCTGAAAGTAGTTCTTAAAAAACTTTGCTTTCGTGGAACTGGGAGAGACTGAACATTTTTTATTAAACTGATAAACTGAGGCTTATAGAAAATCAAGCACGCTTTGCAAGTGATTTTTACACATGGTTATGGCTCCTGATATTAAAACTAGTGGCAGTTGAATTTCACTTCATTTTAAATCTGGCTCAGTGGGAACTATCAAATTTCCTATAATGTTTTTCTGGTCAGATTAATTCGTATTTACACAAACCCTGAGCTTAAAAGCACTTGTCTCTGGTTATTGTCAGTATAAGATAACAAACATATGTTCTTCATTATGATTTCATCTGCACGATGTATCAGAGAATACATACACATGCATATATTCATGTTAACTGAGGAATTACACAAAAATGAAGTGAAATAACACCATTGCTAAGCTGTCTGCGTTCTGCTTGCTGCCTCAGCAATCGGATTGTGACAGACTGGTGGTGCAGAATAGCTGTGGCCTGACGTGCATCTGATTATTTTATGTTTTGAAGTTTCACTTGTGTTTAGAGGAAGAAGTTTAGCAAGTGATTGAGTAGTCTGTTCTCATAAAAACAGAACTTTCAAAGTGAAGAGTGAAACATTTGCAGATGTCTCATGGATTTCATGAAAAATGTTTTGGGAAAATGTAGCGTATGCTTTGAATAGATCTTTGGGGCAAGTCCATGGACCAGCTGCATTATGCGGAGAGCCAGCAGCTTTTTAGGAAGGGGTGCTGGGTGCGAGAGGCTGGGCTCTGGTTGCAAAGACACTGAACTCTTACTTCATTTAGGACAGGACAGGGGGAAAAAGCTGTGGAGCACATGGGGCAATTAGTTCTACTGAAGACCGAAAAGCTCTCTCGTTCTTTTCTGCATTTTTCTTTTTTGGGGAGTATATGGAACCACCTTTCAGTAAGTTTCAGTGTCACTCAGTGCGTGTCTGTAGCAGTGAGATGCTTTGGACCTGCGTGTTAGGAAAAAACAATGAGCAGTCCTTCACTGAAGCTGAATGGCAGTTTCTCTCTGCAGTTTGGAAGGGCTCTGCTTGAGGAGCAATTACTAGATGATGTGTTCACAAAGCAGCAACACAGCCTCTTACTGGAGAAAGTGGTGTAGTGGGGTTTAGTTTCTCTTATTCTCCATTTAGGGCACAATTGCTGATTAGCTTTATTGGTCTCTCAACGCGCCAAGCCTGCTGTAATTCAGAGCTCAGTGAGTTTATTTATGTCCAAGGAGAAAAGCAGATGCTCTGTTCTCTGTGCTGCTGGATCACCTTCCCTCATCCATTCTGCTTTTGCTACGCATTTCTCCCTTGATTCCCTACCGTTGTTTTTCTTTTTTTTCCTAACCCATTTTCTATTCTGCTGTGATTATGTTCCTGCATCTGACTTTATCTATTCAATTCTCTACGCTGTCTTTATCAATTTCATTGTCCCACTTTTCACATTTTAAATTTGCATTCCTTTTGTTTACTTTATTATTCATTTTTCATTCATTTATTCTAGTTTTCAGCTGTTTTTATCTCTCCTCTCTCCATTTTGCATTGCAAAGAAAAATGTTAAATATTGTCTCATTCTGTCATTCTGTCTCCCTGATCTCCTATGGTCTTTGCACTGCTACCAGACTGTCTGCTTACGTGAGGAGTTCATTTTCTCATCCTTTTCCTTTAACCTGATATCTTTGCAGAGTGCTATTTGACGCTTAATGAATTCATTTTTATTTCCAGTACTGTGGGACTTCTGAGACTCCTTTCTGCTCTATATCTTTTCAATTCCATCAGACTTTTCTAACATTTTATCTTCTTAAACTTTAACATTTTTTCTTTTTCTGCATAACAAGACAAGAAACCAGAGCAGGAATCCATTTGCCTGTCTCTGCAATTCTTACAATGGGGAAAAGGGGCAAGTAAACCAAGCAGCCACAGAAGCACCAAAATGTGCTCCTTCGCTTCCTTCCTCAGTTAGTGGGAACCACTATGAGTGGTTCAGGAGAAAATAAAAGGCAGCACCATGTATGTATGGTGTGAATATGCAGTAGCAGAAAAAACAGCTACATTGTGTTCATAAGATCAATTCAATATCAGTATTTCAAAAGTTTCTTGGAAGGAAAGCTGAGAACGATTTGCCAATAGGAAACAGACTTTCCTTCTTTGAATTTTTTTTTTTTTTTTTTTCTTTTAGCCAGGAAGCTGCTTGCGCAGTGCAGGGGGGTTTGTAACTCTAAGCCTTCTGTATCTCTTCCTGATAATGATTTGGCACAAGGATATAAACAAAAAGCTGAAACGCTCAGTGATTATATAGTCACAGTTGTATCTAGCCTCTAGCCTTTTCTGGTGCTCTGCTGTGACCAGCCAAACACAAATCTAGTGGGCTGTTGCAAGAAACTAGTATCTATCCACAAGGAAATGACTTGCTGAAATCTTTGACTCCTTGCAAGTTTTATCCTTATGAGCACTGTACGTGAAGGCCTAAAATTAAAAGATTTTTAAACATCCCGAGGAAGCTCAAATGAAGACAAATTACACTAAGCCTGTACTAAACTTCTTAGGAGATGCTTGATCAGCTGTCCTGCCTGTCTTTTTGTTTCTGTCTTTGTTATATCCAATAATCACTAACGCATGGTATTGTATTCTTGTAGTTGACTATTATGGTGCTCTAAAGATGAGGTGCACTGATGTAGTAAGAACTGACAGCACATAGCACACACTGAAGTTTGGTACCAATGAGGACCAGGGACTTGAAGCCCTTCACTCTAATAAAAGATTAGGAATTAGAGTTTGAGCCTCTTTTGAGGGTAGCAGGTATTAATGTTAGAAGAATGAATGAATATGTTATTGCTGTTTTAATTCCCCCTTTTTTTTTTTTCTTCTTTCCTTTCTTCCTGCAAGGGCGCACCAACCACTGGTCTGCGATCATTGGCAGTTCTCACTCCAAGAACTACATCCTCTGGGAGTACGGAGGGTATGCGAGTGAAGGCGTCAAGCAGGTTGCAGAGCTGGGATCCCCAGTCAAGATGGAAGAAGAAATTCGACAACAAGTAAGTGTGATTTAAGGTATACTTTACAAAGAATGCATCCCGCTTTGGATTCAGTTAAGCAGATGAAACAAGCTGTCTGTCTCTAAAGACTCATTCTTACTCTGAAATTTTTTTTTGGTCTGTGAAAGGGCAAATAAGTTGTAGTGTTGTGTACTTAGAGATACATGTGTTATTCAAGACGTAAATTAGAAATATGTGAGTAAATGCTTTTTTTTCTTAATCGTGAAAGCACACAGTTTGTTAAAGGGAAAACTTGAAAATGGCAAGCAGCATGCCGTTTTTCTTTTTGAAGTGGTGAACTTTGGTGTATAATGTGTTTTAATATTAATAGGTTGGGTTTTTTTCTTCTGGTACATATCTTATTTGCAGTTAGCTGCAGATTCATCCAAGTTAGCAATGCTCTTACAGGAGAGTAAGGTAATTTTTGTTGCTGAGTAGGAAGACTTCACATAATTGCACTAATAAAACTTGATGAAACAGGTTTATGGTTAAGGGCAAAAGAGCCTTTACAGTATATCATCCTACAGGGAATTGACTTAGCTGAGCAGAAGTCAATCTTTCAAATTGTTTGTAGATGATTTTCATTTTGTTACATGAAGTAGAAAGCGACCAAATAAAGTATGCTGGGGTATGGTGATGATTGTTATTAGAATGTCTGCCTCCATGAAATTCAAGGGCTCACTAGAAGCTCATCGATGAGAGAGAAGATGTAGATATTAGCACATATAATAAAGCTACATGTATAATCTGGTATGAAACTATGCAGGGCAGTACAGGTGTGTACAACGTGTATCGCTGTGACTGTGCCACATGGGAGAGAAAGAAGAAATTCTCCCAACTTATGACGTTGTACGGACGAGACAGGTGCCAAGTGGAAACAGCATTCAGTAAGGGAAGTTAAGGCTGAAAAATGAAGGCAGCTCTGACTTGCTAGAGTCCCTTTTTCTCAGTCCTTTTCTGAATCAGGTGGCACAACAAGTACGCTGTTGTTTTGACGTTTCGTGGGACTGCTTCACGATCTTTAGTGTGCCGTGAGGCAAGATTTAGTCTTCAATTGAAATGTATTGTTGTAATTGTAGTTCTTGGTCTCTTTCTGCTTCTGCCTAACTTATTGAGAATCAAAGGTTTCAAAATGGCTGAAGTTTTAAAGAAATTATGTATTTGGTTTTCAGTGATTCAGCACTCTTTTTAAGGGTACAAATTTCACCAAAATCAAAATAAATACTGTGAGATTGGAAAACAGTACTTCACGCTTCAATGACGATAAAAAAAAATTATCTTAAGAACAAAGGCTTGTTATCTTTGTACTAAAAAACAGAGCACTTGTTTATACAGTCTTCACAAACATAGTGAGAATTTGGTGTCCGTGAGTGTAAACGTGTGAAAGTGTGGCTTGCTCCAGAAACAAAGGGGGAGGAGGGAAAAGCATAGGATGAAGTCAGGTAGAGATGTAACTGTGGAAGCTATGCTGAGCAGTGTGGGAAGAGATGGGGAATTTGAGGGTAAGATGGAAAAGATGAACATGGCGACTCATTCTGCTTTCCAGAAACTGTGCTCTCTGTTTTTCCGCACCATGCATTTCCAAAAGAAGAGAGGGATTTGTGCACTGGCTTTGGTTCAGAGGTGGTTGTGACTGTCAGAGAACATAGCGTAGCTCACAGGCTGCAAACATGGCCGGGGTGGATGGGAATTTGGTCGTCCTGGTCTAGTGGAAGTTGTCCTTGCCCATGGAAGGGAGATGGAACTGGATGATCTTTGTTGTTCCTTAGAACCCAAACCATTCTGTAGTTCTCTGAATCTCACGGCTGCTGAGGTCACACGTGGAATCAGTGAATGCTGCAGTTCCTTTGAGGGTCAGGCTTACCTGCTTGCGTCCAACCTGCAGCAATTCTTGTTTCCCTTGTTAGAACTTACTGTGCGCCAGTTCAGCCACTGAGCTGACGTTACAACTGGATAATGCTAGAACAATGCAGCTTCTCTATGTACGCTGTAACATTTTCATTTGACCTTTGGTTTGTTTTTGATGTGCTTAAGCTCAACTAATATTTTTGAGAAGTACTGAGGTGAAGTTCTGCTACCTGACAACAGAGCTAGTAATGTGAAGAGCTGTTTTGTTGGCGTTCGTTGAGGCTTTGGCTTCTTTTACTGTAATTTTTTCATTCCAATATCTTCTACTTGCTTTGAAATTCATAATGTCATTTCTTTCCCCACACTTCCCAAGCAACCTCCGTATTTATTTCCCACTTCATATTTCACCTGGGGCTCAGAACCCTGTAGCACCTGCAGCGTTTGCTGTGCAGTCTTTTAGGTGAATACACAGGAAAGTACTTACGAAACTTAACACTGTGAGGTTTTATTGAGACTCAAAAAATCTGATTGTTTTGATGACGTTACTACTAAGAAGTTACAAAAAAAACTTTTTGTTAATGAAGCTGCTTTCTGTAGATGGTGCTTTGTTAAGAAGTGCCCTAACAGTTGTATAATTAACAGAAGATTCTCAAGCTTGAGCACCTCTGTTCTCCCTGTGATGGACTGCTGAATCATTGTCAGCTTTTCTCCCTGAATCGTGCCTTGAATGCTCTGGTTTGTGTTGTTACTCTAAAGAGACTCTGATATTGTTGAATGGGTAGTCATGGGCGCTGCAAACTTGCTTGATAGTTTATAGTTTACTTGCTTTATAGCTTATTTCTCTGGGATAAATTGAAAGAACTACTCAACCTTTGTGGTAAAAGTTTTTGTTGCAGATTGGAAGGAAAAAACAGAGCAGATAAAAGTATTTCTACCAGCAGTCTGTCAAGTGATTGATGTGTACAATAGAGTAATTGGTGCATTATGCTCCAGGGATCGTTCATGAGCAAACAAGGGATGAAAAACAATGGTGTGCACAAAAGAACATTCACCAACCTCTTGTGTCTCTGAAATACGTTCATTATTTCACTTCTCAATGTTTTAGTTTTCAGAAAGTCTGATTTGTCCAAGATCTATCAGTTGAAAAACTGCTCGGTTAGAAACAAATACAAAATTTGAAAAGAGGAGTCTTGCATCTGTATTCTGATTGCTTTGGTTAAAAAAAAAAATAATAACATTGATTAAAACATGTAGGTACAAAATAGATTGAAGCGCAATGCGCAATATTATTATCATTGACAGATGCACCAAGATGAGAATAAGGTGAGAACAGTGACAGGCTTATTCCCCTTAGTTTCAGTGTCTCAAGGGAGACCTTGTTTGGTTTTGCTTAATTGTTTGAGGAAGAATAATTGAGGAAAAATGTGAAGTCATTTTTAAAACATGTTGGTGGTAAACGAGGATAAAAGATATTCTGGACCTTGCCATTGTTTTCAGGAAAGGCAACTGGTGCTCTCTGCTTATTGCCTGCTGGCACAGAGCTGGCATTCCCAACAGGTTTGGTTTAATGCTCTGTGCAACGTCAGCAGGTGGGATGACTTCTTCTGTTGTCTTTAGTGGCTATAGATTAGAGCTGACTGCCTCCAGAACTCTAGAAGAGCAAGTTAGATGTTTGTAGATATTGTTATATGTTATGATGAATGTGAAGACAATTTCCTAATAGAAGTTGACGCCTGAAATGACATCCTGAACTTTCTATAGAAGAAAAAAGAAGAAAAAAAAATAGGAAATTTGGATCGATCCCTATTTATGTATTTTATTTTGAGAACCAGAGTTTTAGTATTTCAGTTGAGTAGCTACCATGTCATTAGTGGCATTGTAATGCAGCACTGCATTTGTCCGTGTAAAAATGCAGTCATTAGGTTTTTCTATCTCAGTCTGAATTGAAAATAGGACTCTTTAATATATTGTTTGCACCATTGCATTACTTGGCAAACTATTAATGAAGTATTACCGATTACTGAAGCAGGCTCAAAATTTTAATTTTGTGGGGATTTTTAATTAACTGTATGTATACTAATAGAACTTAAAATTGTCCTACCAACCAGGGAGGTTCAGTTGAGTGCTTGATAGAACAGCTAAAAATTGAACACTTGAGCTCTGGAGGGAGGATACCCCTAATTATGGTTGAGAATAAGACTGCTTTGCACTTGAAGGTTGTGATTGCTGCAGAAATCTCAGGCTGAGCTCATTTAAAGCAGCTGAAAATTGGTGCAAATATGATGGCTTGGCCTTCATGGTACATAGTATCTGAGATTCTTTTGCCTTGTGCTACTTCTGAGTTTTCTGTGGCTGCTGTTATTCATGGAACCAATAGGAAATGGTCTGGCTGGGATGTCTCTGCCTACCCAACCTACCGCGAATGGCGTCACCCTGTGGGTCAGCCCCTCCATGTCATTCCAAGGGCAGAGATTTGACTTCCCAGCTGCTTTTCAGAGGTTTGCTTAGGAAATATTAGTATGATCATAAAGTCTAATGTAAAGATTACACTGCTGTATTTTTTTTTAGTTGTCCAAAACTCCTTTGTTTCTCTGCAAAGGCCATAAAAACTTCTCGGTGCTTCGGAGTCTGTCAAACACTGAGGTAGTAAAGCCCCGTCTGAGCGGACTTTCTACATTAGTTACAGCCTGGCTGCATGTTTTTAATGCTGTATTTAATTCTACATAGATTGAGCTGCTTGATTATAAATTTGTGTCTAAACTTCTGTTTGCTCTCAGATTCCTCTACTGCTCTGTGCTGCACATCTGTCAAAAATTACAGTTCTTTTTCTTGTCTTTTGGAACTGCTAATAGTAGATTTTCCATCCTTTCTTCTCAGAAAATATGTCTTGTTTATAATTTCAACCCCTTTTGCATTTTGGTAATTAGAAAATTTGAAACGCCTTGTAATCCTAAATTTCATGACTTATTTCTGCCAAAAAAAGAAATTGTTGTATGTTATTGTCGTGAAGGGAAGTCATCTACCAGAAAATAACTCGTACAGTGGGGTTTAGAGCCCTTCTTCTAAGTTGAACTACGTATTCTAATGAGTTTCCAAAAGGAGTTCATTGAGATGATTGCCAGTTTGTGCTGATTTCTTTGAAACAAGAAAAC